AAATTAGATGAAATGAAAGAATTAAATAATTCTCATATTTCAGACCCACAAATGAAGAATCAAATGGCAAACTATTTCCTCTCTACTTTGGTTGGGGCTCTAATGGAAATATATAGTTAAATATTGATGCTTCAAACGGAGGATGTGCAGAGAAAAATTTTAGTGAAAATGTGCTTTTTGGAAGAATGTCAATGCTATTAACCATGGAGATAGCTAAGGTTATAACCTTCATATATGGTTTGAAACTGGAAAGGTCTATGGAAAACATTATTCATATTATCGTGGAAAGCAATTATCAGGTTGTTTTGGAGTTTAACTTTTGTTCTATCTAAAATTTTTCAGAGTTTAGTTTGTTATCAGGAGATATTCTGTATCTAATAAAGATGGTTAGTATACATGATGTATGCATTTATTTGGAGATGGTACTTTTAAAAGAATGTATTTTTATTATCTAATTTATGAAATGATTTTTCTTTAACAGAAAAAAAAAAAACCATTGTGTATTAATGTATATAGGTTTTAATACAATATGCCTCCATGAAACCATGCTGCATTACTGCATGATGATTGCATAATATACTTGAAGCAAAATAACTATTTTTAAAATGTTATTTATATATATATTAAAATTAAATGTCATATAAAATATAACTAAATGATTATAATATATTTTATGTTATAGATATATCATAAAACTAATATTATTTGTTAAAAATAATTTATGTATATAATAAATGAATTTTAAAATTATTTATTCTGAAAAATATCATTATTTATTAAAAACTAAAAAATCTATTTATCATATCGATATTATCAAAGTTTTAAGGAATAAACACATTTTATATGAGTATTGTCCTATTTTAATATATTAATATATATATAAGAAAATAAATAGCTGCATGCGGGTGCAGCAGCTACATGCTGACTACATTGAGCCCTCAAATTTAACCAGAAAGCTCACAGTGGATCAACCAAACAAAACATTCCCAGAAGTTCAGAACATGCATGCATGAAATAATTAGATTAAAATTTGATGAGCGGGTAACCAAACAAAAAATCATCTAAAATTAACATGAATGTATAGGACATACAATATTGTTTCTTTCTTAAAAAAAAATTATCTTCTTGGAAAAACAAAAAGTCAGTCTATATTTCCTATAGAGTTCACTTGCATGATCTTAACTTCATTTATTTTCTGACAAAATATTTCAATGATATATAATTTTATTCTTAGTCCTATATAATTTTTTATTTATTCGAGTTAAACTCCTATCCAAATTATGTTTAATTAGAAAATATGTACCTTCATTGTAATACTGACGTTGGGTATTGGTAGAAGAGAGCTGATGGTTGTTATCTCCAGAATCCTGTACTTGTCTGGGAGCCATACTAGTGGAGGGGGCAAAGGGACCAAAAACAATCTTGCCTTTGGTTCTCTGGTCTGAGTTTTGCTTCTCCATTTCCTTCAGAATATTATCTCTGTAATATTCAATCAGTGAAGGTTCCTTCTCCTCTGACTTTGAGTTCGGCTTCACTTCAGCTTTCTTTTTCTTTGAGTTCATGTTTGTAACCTCAGTCCCAAACTTTCTTTTGTTTGGCATATCATTCACATACAAAGCAATACCAGATGAATTAAAAGCTTTTCCTCTCCATCCCACCCACCTAAATGCCGCTTTGTTGCTTTTAGGGTGACTAGCCTGTTCCATGAGTATTTACTTAATTAAACAAACATCCTACTCTATGTATATATCTCTTGTATACATAAACAAGGATGTGCATCAATTTACCTTCTGAATCAAATTTAAACAGGATAAAATATTGGCAATATCATACAATCGTCTAACTTTAGCTGCAAAACAAATCATTTTGAGAGAAAGGGTCAGTCATACATAGCTTCACTATTGTTTCTCTTTCTAATTTATGATCAATGATATTATATATATATTTGGTTACTTTTGATAGGTGTTAGACGGTCGGGTTCATCAAACACTTGAGCTGCAGCATCCTCAAGTGTGATTATATCGATCTAAATGAGAAAAGAAGGGGATTAATCAGGCCTGTTAGTGATGGGGAAAAAGAAAAATAGTAGGTCATTACAAAAACACCATAAACCTTTACTTACATCACAACAAAGGTAAAGCTTCAAAAAGTTCTGCGTGAGAAAGCAAAGAGACCTCCCTTTTTTGTTGCGTAGGTTGAAAAGATCAACATCCATGTCTCCAATTTTTTAAGTTGGATTCAAATAGTCCCATACCCAAATAAAGCATATATATGAATAAAATTTGGAAAGTCAGTAAAAAGATCATGAATTAATGGTTTAAGAATCCAATAGGTTTAGTTTATTGTGAGATGGGAAAAATAGTTACTTCCCAATTTAAATAATGTAATTAAGAAACACAATAACGAGATTACCAGTTATCCATGAGAGTGAAGAATTTTCCTCCCCATCAATTTTTTCATTCACAGAATCTCCATTGTCATCATCATCACAAGAAACCTGATTAAACAAAAACAAAATTATCTGCACTTGTAAACTTCTACTGGTTTTCTTTTTTACTAACTGGGCATTTTGAGGAGCCTGTAATTTATGTTGTTTGTTTTAAAAATATTGTTCAAATATCTGTTACTAAAAAATGTAAAATTGTTGTTCATTAGAAATGTCTTTAGCTAAAAATTATGTAGTGTATGGTAAAAATAATTGTAAAATATGATATCATTTAAAAAAAAACATAATTTATATTTGATGAATATGATTTTTGAGGTTTTAAATGTAAATTTTTATAAAATTATTTTTTAAAAATTATAAATCGTAGTTTGTGTTTAAACCTATTAAAAGTTAAGTTTGGGTTTTACCTTTTGCCAAAATTACTCTTCATTTTGATTCCATTTGGTTATAAAAATATTTTCGAAATATAAGAATCAAAACCAGAAACTGTGTCAAACAAGGTCTCAGCATTTTCTTTTGGAGCATCACAGGGAATATAAGATTGAACCTGGACTGAGTTTCTGGAATCTGAAAGGCTGATAGTCTTCCTTACGCTTTCTTCCTGCATAACATGAAAGCTGTTAGAAATTCCTTAATGTAAATATCCAAAGATAAAGAAATTAACAAACAGTATACCTTAAGTTCCTTTAAAACCCGAGGAATTGCTTCATAACCTTTCCACAAGTATTGATTCCTTCCACTTTTTATCACAATCTGCAGAATTTTAAAAAATTTAACCTAATTTAATCAAATCAGTCAATTTAATTCAATTAGAAATCTAAATCTATGCGTTGTTTTCTTACTCCAACACTCTCCAGTATATTCACCACGTCATATAAGCGACGTCGTCCAGCTCCTGAGAATTCAAAGTATGAGCTTTAGTTGGCTCAGTCTTATTGCGGCTGCTAAGAATTCGAACAGCAGAAAAATATAAAACAAATTTAAGGGGAAAAAAAACTCAGGCTTCCGTCTTTCTCTTGGGAACATTTAAATTATTTCAGGCTTGTTTAAACCGAGGAGAAATTATTAATTACGCAGTAACCAGTGAAACTCAAAATGAATATCGGCCGATAAGCTATCAAAACGAAGAAGAAGTAATAAAAAAAAAAAAAAGAGATCTGGACCTAATTCTGAAGCCGCTTCATCCAGTACGATCAGGCAAGTCTCGTCTCTATCGTACAACTTGAGGAAACTGATACGCCATCAGAAATAAAAATAAAATAAGAAAATCGAAGCTTGAAGAAGATGTAATCGAAGTGGAAGAAGGAGAGACTACTTGGCGCAAAGAACTTTTAGGGATCTCTTTTTGCGATCGTAAGGTTCGCGATCGCTGAACACGGTTTCTCCTTCTCCAGTATTATCAACAAGCTGCTGCGACATTTTCTCGAAACAAACAAGGTCGAGAAACGAAAAGGAAAAACTTCAATCTGATTCTTGATTCTCCAGAGACTCCCGATTAATAGAATTTGATCGGTGAACATGAAAATTCAAGAGAGAAATTGAGGTTTAGAAGAGGATCTTAGCTCTGAAAGGGCTTTGGAGTCTGGAGAGGGTGAAGATGCACTCCGAAGTTTACGTGGTTTGGTCGTCTCGCGCGTTTTAAATTACGAAGCGCGGCTGACTTGAAATTACCATTATGCCCTCGCTAGGCTAATTATTACTTTCATTTTTGGTAATAACGCATATATATATATATCTATGTTTTAATTATTACTGTCCGTAAAGATAATGTATTCTAGGATGTAATTAACGTTAATTATCTTCGCAAACAAGTCTATCCCAATTAATTAATTATCATTGTCCGTAGATTTACTGTTTAATTAAGAATTAAATATTATATAATAATTGCTTTGACATATAATTAATATATATATATATATTTTCTCCCTTGTGACCTCTCAGCACACAGTTCACGTTTTCCACTTTCTCTTGCATTTGTACACGTTGGGAAGCCAATGAGAGAGGTGGGATTTGTTAGTCCTTGTCAGGATTTTGTGAGGGTTTTTTTTTCTTATTTTAGAATTTTGTCTTACAGTCTTAATTAGGATTAAATTTATGATTTAGAATTTCCGGAAAAAAAGTTCAAACGCCCACCCCCAAACATACACACACACACATATATATATATATAGGTTGCTGTATCTAGATATTTGCATAATAAAACACTTTAAAATGATTTACTAATTTGTTTATTTTGACTGAAATTAATTTTTGAAAAGCATGTGTTTTCTAAAGGTGACTTCTGTTGATAACAGTTGGAGAATTTATGTAAGATCTTTTTAAAAAAAAAAATAACTAATTTAAACAAATTAATTAATAACTCTCTGCAATATTTAGTGTATTAGGCATTGTATTTAAAAAAAATAATAAAATAGAAAAATAATTAGATACGTTATAACAAATAGATGGCACTATTTTGTCTTTTTCTGCTCTAATTTATTACTTATGGTACGTTTGGAATAATCTTGAAGAATTTATTAAAAAAAATTTATATTTAATTGAACTAGGATATAATCAAAATCTCTTATAAAGAGATTTTTAAAAAAATAATAATATTATTATTATATATTTTTTATTTTCCAAAAGTAGCCTATAAGCCATATTGTCCTTGCAATTTTTTTTTTTTTTTTTTTTTTAGCGTACTTTATTCCTTCATTAGGAAGCTAGAATTTGTGCAGGTAGAGTGAGAGGTATTGACCTAAATAAATACAGACTTTTTAATGAACATAAACATCTTCACATTCTACCAATGTGATCATTAAGGATGGTAATAGTAGATCTTCTAAATATCGAAAAAGCTTAATAAAATGTGTTTAAATAATAAAGAGATAGCGAGAAAAAGTTTCAGTACATATCGCTCATTATATTGTAAAAATTATTTGAGTACTGAATACACTGTCTTATAAGAATAAATATTAGTTACTTAATTTAATA